TATTTTTGTGAATCACTTATCTAGACCATTCATCTGAGAAAGTTTGAGGGATTTGATTTTTTCTGGTCCAAATGGCCATAGTTGAAAATTACAGAGGGCGCCTCTTAATTAGTAAATACACACGTATTGACCTGTGTCACTCGGTGAGAAAGAAGAGCAATAGAATTATTGGGCAGGTGATTTCCTTTGAATTTTTACATCACCTCAGAATATTGCTACTCTTTATGTATTTCACCTTTGGAATTTACTTTGTAATTTTAATGCTACAGTTCTAGACAAGTCTTAGATGGAAACATGAAGGATTTGAGTGAATATAATCCAGGGGTCAATGTAATAAAACTTTTCCACTTGTAATCTACAAGTCAGACCATTGTATTTACAAGCGCAAACGAAAACGAGTTTAATAAAAAAACTGTTTCAAGTCTAGGTTACAAGTGTCCGACTTCTAATTACAGGTGTAGTGGTACACGTGTAAAAGATAGTAAGAATCAGATTTAATAAAACTTTTACAAGAGTTCTACTTGTATTATCATAACTTGGAAATTATAGTCGCAAACTACAAGTGGTATGTCACTTATAAACATTGAAAGGGCAGCAGAGATATTAAATTTGCATTTGCAAAAGTATATGTGCATTCAAGGAGATTTTATACTGTGTATCCTGACTTGCGATACACGTGTAAATTCCAGTGTAGAAATTACTGTTATTGAATCCTTCTATTTACAAGCTTCACAGTAGCATAGGGACAGACAAAACTGTCTGTTTTAAGGGAGTGTGCTTATTAAGCAGGTAAGTACACATGTGTAGCAGGGCCCCAGTGTACATGTGCTTCCACCAATTCCCCTGTTCAACAAGAAACATTAAACACACAAGTTGTTCCAATCATAGTTACTTTTATGTAATGTTAAAATGTAATTTGTCTGGTGTTATTGTTGTAGTTGCAATGTTGTAGCTTCCATATGCATTGGGTCCATCTAATTAATTTTCACTTTGTTGTTCATAGTCTGTCTCATTCTAAACTTGTAAGGAGCATTTGGTTAAATCATTTTTTAAATTCTACCAGCTGTTTGATGTTTCTCTATTTTAAGTTTGTGAAAGATATTTCATTCTGAGGGAATTTTGTTTGTTACATTGTACTTATTGAACGACTTAATTGGTGAACTTCCATTCAATACAGACCTAGCTTCCTAAAGAATTGTTTCCCATGTCTTTGTTAATCTCTGTGAATTATTAATTTTCTAGCTGATGGTGGTTGGTCATCCTGGGGAGACTGGAGCAGGTGTACTCTGACGTGTGGTGGTGGAAATCAAACTCGACAGCGGTCATGTACCAATCCTCCTCCGCAATGGGGTGGCCATGATTGCCAAGGATTGCTTTCCGAGTCCCAGTCATGCAACACAAACAGTTGTCCCAGTAAGAAAGCATAAATTTTGATCTTAGGGTGTGTTCCTTTGGGATCAATGATCCAAGATCACTTGAATGATGGTGCATTAAAGGAACTCCTGAATCCACCCCGAATTACGTGTGCATTCTAAGATTCAGTGGGTTCCTTTAATGCTCCATACGTGACCCTCCACAGGAAAACAGGGATAAAGGTGATAGAACGCTCACAACACGCTAACACAGCACACATGGTGTGTCCTAAGACGCTTTATGTGCATATTTAATTCGTTGCACAATGAAGGACACACAACGATTTGTTTCGAAGATGTTAACATGCTAAACCAGTTTCTGTTTTGATTAGCGTGCTCACGGTAACACGCTCAGTGTGTCAGTTATCACGCTAGAACACGCTAGAACATGACAGAAAGTTTGCGATCTCGCTCTACAAAAAGTTGGAATTTTATTATTTCACTCTAAAAGCTTCTAAATTAGCGACAATTAGTAAATAGCGACAATGAACGGGAGAAAAACTTAGCATTAGTGTTGGACAACGGACAAGAGATACTATTATTCTGAATAACACCAAACACAAGTAGAGCGTTTTTAAACAAGCTGATCATCTTCTTTCCTGGAGAAACAAATACAGCAAAAGAAGAAGATGCTGTCTCTGATTCTCACCGGCCCCAAAGAACAACAAATTCTGGCATTATTGTACGCATTCGACTTTGGTTACAAAACAAGTGTAGGGGAGTTTAATGATGCGACTGCAGTTAAGTTTTACAATGTAAAGTGTAAGCTATAAAAAAAATAAACCCTGTTGTAGTCATATTTGGAGAGAGTTTAGTTTGGTTCATTCGCAAATAACAAGTTTACCACTGATAGTGGGAAGATTTTGGTCACATGCTAGGCAACGACTTCGGATTGTATCAAATTTCATTCGTCATCAAAAATTAATAACTTTACAGACACGGATGCCTTTGGCTTTTTGTTGGTTTATAATTATTTTCATCCGTTTCGTAGACGGTTAGTTCTGAATTCTTAGATACTGGGTTCGCGATCAATTTTATCTTTTCGGCTAGATGGAAACGAAGCAGACTGCAAAACAGCGTGCATTGTCGTCCAAGAGTCCCAGAGTGCCTAAAAGCGAGTTGTTTTCTTTTGGCGTCTTGTTCGTCGATTTTTGTGTAGCAAATGTGAAAGAGACAATAAAGATCTTGACATCTGCCAAACAATAATGTTAACAAAGAAAGGTTCTGTGACAAAACTGTGACCTTCGTATGTAAATTGTTGTTGTTGTTGTTGTTTTTTTTTTTCAACCTTATGCAAATTAAAAGCTTTACGAAAGGCTGAATCTGATTGGATTCCCCTTGTCGTTTGAACGGTTGATTTTTTTGTCCTCAGCAGATAACAGCAACCGTTCGAACGGCATCCCATCTTGTATGGAAAATAAACGGCAAGCGAACGGTTTTCCTCATGAAAGGTCAGATTTACTGCTCAACGTTTGTAATTTTCGTTTAAATTGAAGCAGTGGGAAGAATGATTCTTCACAAGACAGATAAACATTACAGCTGAATCTCACCTTCTGTCGAAACGGCAATGCAACAACAAATACGAGGACGAGTTACAATCAAATCCGGGAAATCACAGTTATTTTTTACACACTTGACCGACACACTTCATTTCAATTGTCAGTTCAGTAAAATAAATGGTAAGTAATTGTGTTGACCAATGAGCAACCGCAATGTTCGTCAATGTTATCTTCGCCCAAAACTCTTTCAGCACAGTAGTTGAAAGTATTGCACGCTTTAAGCGTGTTGTGCTATTTCGCACACTAAAGCGTGTTGTGGCACGCTATCTCTTGTTTTCGAAGTTTAACACGCTTCTTTGTTTGATTGCATTGTTAGTGTGTGCACGCTTTATTGTTCTTAGCGTGTCCAACCAAGCAAAAGAGTTTACTACCGATGTGTGCTCCTGAACACGCTTTAAGAGTGCTAAAATCATTTTTTTTTTTTAATTTCCAAGTGGAAGCGTGTTGTGAGCATGCTATCAACTTTATCCCTCTTTTCCCGTGCAGGTTCACATACCTGAGTGATCTTGGAACGCAACCCAAAGAAATGCATCCTTAGTCTTCAAGTTCTCTATGATTTTCCCTTTGTAATATAATGGATCAGTTGGTCAGTCAGCGCATCACATCTAGACTTGAGTGGCTGTGATCTTGAAGAACTCATATGTATGTTCTACTCAGCAATGCAAACAGTTGTCTATCAAGCAAGAGTATAATAATTGGGCCCAATCTTGTGAATTTTTTCGTGAAGTTTTAGTTATACTGTATTTGATCTCCGTTGCAATATGAACTACCAACAAGACGTGAAACCTTCTTCAGTGAGCAATGACAATTTAAACGCACACTTTGTTTAACTAGCGATCAACCACTTCTGATTCAATGTGGTTACAACTGAAACAAAACATGAACAAAGCAAACGTAAACAATGCGAAACTGGTGCAAACTAAAACCCGTGATAACCACAGACTTACATTTGTAATGCGATGCTGGGACTGCTTACAAACGGCTGAGATGTGGCATCAAACTGCACTAGACGCTTTGATTTTTGATACTAAGCTCCGATCTGCACTGCGAAAACTTAGAAATGCACTACCCAAAAACTCTATGTATAAATTACACGACGATACAAGTGCCACATTCCAACAAATTATACAAAACAATACGAAATGTACTTGCTAAGTAACCGGGCGCATAAATAACACCATTTCAAGGGTTACGATCTTACACCAGCCGCTTAAGTGTCAATCCACGAGCGAGACACTTATAAATACGATACTAGATCAAACGGCTCTACAGAATTGTACAGACAGGATTTGATGGGAAACAAGAACCTGACAAGCTTGTGCACCAACTTGGCAATGAAAACGTAACACTACTACGCATAGTAATAGTCAATTATACCAAAGCCGTAAACAATGCACTGCTCATTAATTAATTAAAGCAAATCGTTCATTTAAACTTGATGGCCATTAACACAACAAGGCAAAATTGCAACTTGATTGACCATCCTTAATGTTCCATTTGTTGAGATTCATATCCTTCAACAAGAAGACAAAGCTTGTTGATGGATCTCTCAAGAACTGTTGACTTGACATTTACTTTTATGTGTCGAATAAACCATGTCCTATCGGGAAGGACTTCGACGAATCTTCCAAGGGGCAAGTAATTACAAGGAGAATTCTCAACAGAAATTAGGACGACTTCTCCAAAGGCTAAATTTCTGCATGGTCATAGCCATTTTTGTCTGCCTTGAAGAAACGGCAGATACTCCTTTAACCATCTTTTCCAGAAGATGTCTGCCAAATACTGCACTTGCCTCCATCTGCGGCATGACAGCTGATCCTCTCTTCCAAACAGCCCTTGTGGCATTGGTGACTCTGAGCGCTAAAGCAGCAAATGATTAGGCGTCAAGGGCTCCTGATCTTGAGGGTCGCTATGGACTGTTGTGATTGGACGGCCATTCATCATGCCCTTCATTTCGCATTTTAAAGTAACCAGGCCTTCATCATTGGTAGTCTGTTCTTGGAGCAGGGCGTGAAGTATCTTTCAAGTCCTACGAATGCATCGCGTCAAACACCTCCGTAGTGCAAGCCATAAGCTTAAGGGGGTTGAAGGACCACTTGACATTTCTTTGCAACAGGTTTTTGTGGATTTTCTCTTGGTCCAGGTGTTGATAGATTCACCGAGCTCTTTCTCACTGCTTGAGAAGGTGGTACCACTGTCTGAACGGATCTCTTTGACTTGGCCTCCTCTCACTATGAACCTTCTAACTGCCAGCAGAAAGGAATCGGTGTGCAAACTGTATGAGACCTCAATTTTTACCGCACGAATGGCCAAACACATAAAAATAACTCCCTACCTCTTTTCAAGACTTCGTCCACGCTTTATTTGAAAGGGACCAAAGCAGTCAACACTGACTGATGTAAAGGGCGGCTGATCTGGGGTAAGACGATCCACTGGAAGGTCAGCCATCTTCTGCTCGCAAACTGGACGTTGGTGACGCCAACAACTTACAATTTTGATAGGACTCTCCTAACTGCAGACCTTGCCTTAACCATGCAAAATTTTTCGTGCAAGAGACTTAGCACACACTCTCTTCCAGACTGCCCGGATACTAGGTGACGGTGCTGAATTATTAGCGTGGACGTAATAGACCATCAGCGAGGACTGGGCCAAGACTCCGAAGACTGCTGGTTTCCTTGACATGCGCCACATCAACTCCAGACTTTATAAGTGAGTGGAACTTTTCAGGAAAATAACGCAACTGGACACACTTCAGTATCTCTAATTCCACTGTCCTCATTACTTTGACATCGATGCACCGCTGAGGAGTGATTGAGGAGGATATTGCTAACTTCTTGCGTTTACTAGCTAATCGCAAATTCTCTCGATACCATAAGAACCAAGGAATCGGTTTCTTGAGGTGATGCCAGTAAGACGTTCTTCGAAAGTACTCCACTAGAGGACAAAAACGCACTGAGATCACGCAAACAGGATCTGCATCTGGAATACTGCCCAGTGACGAAGGACCCTGTGGCTACTGCTCTTTTCGCTCCCAGTGAAATGTTGGTCCCTTTATCCAGAATCAGAACTAAGAAGAGCTTCTGCCGATAACCCCTGGAAAGTCATCACTTGGATTCAGGTCTCCACCCACATGTCTCCACTGATCTTGATCCGAACCATCTCGTATGACTGTGATATGATTAGCCACGAATGTGTAGAACCGCTTGGTTTCATTCCTGACATAGCGCAACATTGATGTGCTGTCCATCCAGAAAACAGATTTCTCTGTTGGTAGCAAGTCAAGCTCTCTCTTTAGAACTTTATCCAGTTGCACTGACACTACTGCGGCTGAAAGCTCCAAAGGAGGGATTGTAACTTGTTTGAGAGGCACAAGACGTGACTTTCCATTACTATCAGACAGGCAGAGATACGAGACCGATCCAAAACCAATCTAAAATGCGTC